TTCGAGCTCGAATTTTCAAAATTTCTCAAAAATTACCATATTTCTTTTGGCGATTGTGGAAAAATTGTACGAATTTTCGAAAAAATAACCAAAAACAACATCTGGAGATCGAAATCAATAAAGGAATCCCTTTTGGTAATTTCGAACGTGCTTGAAAAAAGTCAAAAATTTGATACAGGTTCTCAAAAATTGCCATTTTTCTTCCGTCGATTCTGCAAAAAATGTAAGAATTTTCAAAAAAATTTAATCCAAAACGATTTTTGGAAGAAATCGAGATGAACAAAGGAATTCTTTTGGTCATTTTCGAAAATGCTTGGGAAAAGTCAAAAATTTTATATGGGTTTCCAAAAATTGAGCTTTTGTTAAAGTTGACAAAAAATTCTGAAATACACATCTCGACGAGTTTAAAAAAACATGACGAGTTCATGGTTCCGTACCAAAATTTTCGAAATATTTGGTTGCGAATTCGGATTTTTAAAATATGTACTAAACATGCAAAAAAATAAACTCAAACAAATTGGATGTTACCTATATGGCCACTACACAAATTTTTGGACGCAGTACAGCTGTTTGTGAATCTACATTCTCTGTTTTAACCAGCATTTTAACCAAGTACCGTAATAATTTTTTGGACTTCGACAGGTTTTTACGAAAATTTAGCGTAAAAAATCGACGTTTCCAATTATTTTAATGTTCTTTCAAATATAAAAACTCAGAAAAAATAAAGTAGTTATCTGAGTGTATTATTAAAATATAAATATTTACATGAAGCCCCCTCTGTCGACAAACTTGGCCCCCCTGAATAAGTTTTCCTGCTACGGGGCTGCAGCAGTGGAGAGTACATAACCAGAAGCAACGCTTTTAATATCATAGTATAAATAATCTGCTGCAGGACAATCCGCTTGTTCTAGACTCGAATAAAGTGTTAATTAACACGAAAACTAAAAATCTGTAAGATCTTGGTATCGACGTAATTATAAATATGTATTTAGTGTACGTAAATAACTATTATTTCTTTTCATCTGTGTCAGTTATTCAGTTATGCTTCCCGAGTGTAAGCTAAGGAAGTATCGTAATTGAGTCCATCAGGCGTCTGGCTACTTTCATGTTTTCTCGAGGTTTTCCTGTCTGCCGTCTGCAGAAAGCGTTAAGACTTCACGGACGAGAAACTTTGCTCAACCAATTTTTGACAATTTTTTTCTTCGTCTCGTTGTTAATAATTAAGTGATTAAATGATTTTTTTTTACACAGTTGTTAAGTATATATATAACTCTACTTTATCTTTACTACCAGTGTAAATCTGTATTGTAGTGTACGGAAGATCACTAGTAAAAAGAACGAGCCTAGAAGCTGAGCTTCGAGTAACAAACCATTGTTATTGCGATAATATTGTGATAATGTCATGAAATACTTAACGATACAGATCTAAGGATTGGGGCCAATACTGATTATTATTTGGAATAAAAACTCTTACGAAACTCTTAAATAATACGATATTAATTACTTAACTAATCAAATAATATGATAAATTTAACAATGAAATGTATACGTCAAGAATTTTTTATTTTACAGTAACACAATGAAATGCCGATTGTATCTGAATAGGACTTTTTTGAAAACAATTTTTAATTAACGAATCTCAGAAATTATTTCAAGTGATCTCATTCACATCGTATTTCAATTTTAATATTCTGTATAACGTACCAAAGACCAGACCTTTTGTACCTATATACCATATGATCGAAAAAAAAAACCCTCTAGTGTGCCGCGCAATTTATTTTAAAAATAACGATGCTAGCAACACCAAGGCATTCCTTGTTTGGCAGTTACGGTCAAATAACTGTCCAATAAAGAATCAAATAGCTGCAATGTCATTATTTTAAAAATAAATTCCACGGCCTACTAGAGGAGTTTCTTTCGATCATATAGTATATATTCACAAAAGTTACGGTATATATAATATTAAAATTGAAACACGAAATGTGAGGTCAATTGAAATTAACTTTTAGGTTCGTTAATTAAAAATCGTTTTCAAAAGAGATACTTGCCAAGATAAGACTAAATTTGGCAGATGACCAGCTCTTCCAAGAAAATAAAGGGTGGGTGGGCGGGGCTAGTACTTGCTAAGATTAGACTGATTTTGGCAAATGACATATCCCCTAAATAAGTAAGGGTGGGTGGGTGAGGCTAGTACTTGCCAAGATAAGACTGAATTTGGCAGATGACCCGCTCTTCCAAGAAAATAAAAGGTGGGTGGGCGGGGCTAGTACTTCCTAAGGTAAGATTGATTATGCCAAATGACATATCCCCTAAAAAAATAAGGATGGGTGGGCGGGGCTAGTACTTGCCAAGATAAGACTGATTTTGGCAGATGACCTGTTATTCTAAAAAATAAAGGGTGGGTGGGCGGAGCTAGTACTTGCCTTAGTTGTTCTCTCAAAAATTAATGTCATATTTTATATGTTTGTTAGGAATATCGTATAGATATAATGGTAAAACGGTACCAAAATGTATCTAGTCATCCCCACCAACAATTTGATGACGTCATGTCAATATCTTTTTTTGATAAATGGCACTGGAATTTTATAAAACATATAAAGTCCGGTAGTTGTAGCTTATGAATCCCCCTTGAGTTTTTACCTTAGGTTTTCAGATTTTTCCCAAAATAAAATCGAAATTTTATAATAAAATTTTACGCTATATGAACGAAGAAACGTCCTCCAGTAAGCCATGAAATAAATTGTTTACATTCTGATGTTGGCAACACCGACACGTTCCTTGTTTGATTTCAGAAATACGAAAAAATAACTACAGTTCCAGTGCCATTATTTTAAAAATATATTTCATTTCATTCTGACGGGTATTATCTATATTTATTTAATTTATAAGGTTTACCATAAAATAAAGTCCTGTCTAAATAACTTTAGACCTACCTTATTTTCTTTTCTTAAAATTGCTCCCCTGTAATTTCCATCTTGATATTTTCACTTACAAGCTTAAGGAACTGAAACTCAATTTAATTGGGTCCATCGGGCAATTGGCTACTTTCATGTTTTTGACGTTTCACGTTAGCTTTCTTTACCTTCAGAAATCATTGTACAGAAAGCATTTAAGAAGGGTTTGTCAAGATTGCAACGAAAATCTGTAAATATGTGGTGTTAAAATCATTATAAAATTCCAACTCGTTCTTGGTGTTCGGTTTTCAATGTCGGTTAGTATAATTCGTATGCACTGTATCTTTTTGAAAAGTCGTTATTGGACTGTTAAATTTTATACCCCACGTTAACTTTTGATCAAAATTATTCTGGTGATTGTTGTACTGGGTACACATTTCGTAAATAGGTGAGTGTTTTGACACGGTTAGTCGCTTTGACAGTTTAAAACATATAATGCGAACGTGTGAAGAACGATCATTAAAAAAATCTTTTAGTGAAGGACCATGTGTTGATATTATGTGGTGTGTAAATTGTTCTCTTTTCAATTTTTGACGAAATAACGTTTAAACAAAAAGATAAGCATGATGAGAAATTTTGTTTTGGCAGAAGGTAATTAACACCATTGTTTTATTTCGTATAAAAACAAAAATCAATTACTTTTTGAAGTAGGAAAACACATCAAAAAAAAATTCTTATCTAAGTTGTTATAAATTACAAAGTTCGATAAATTAGTTCCAACTAAGCAGTAGCAATGCCTTCTGATAAACAAATACTGTAACTATGTTGTATTATTTATGTTCGTAAGAGTTTTCATTCCAAATAATAATCAGTATTGGCCCCAAACCTTAGATCTGTATCCTTAAGTATTTCATGACATTATCACAATATTATCACAATAACAATGGTTTGTTACTCGAAGCTCAGCTTCTAGGCTCGTTCTTTTTACTAGTGATCTTCCGTACATTATAATACAGATTTACACTGGTAGTAAAGATCAGTTATGCAATTTCGAGCAAGGAACCGCTTGCGCTCAGGAAGTAAAAATAAGTGACAGGCAAACCTCGAGAAAACATGAAAGTAGCCAGACGCCTGATGGACTCAATTACGATACTTCCTTAGCTTAAGCTCGGGAAGCATAAATTAATAACTGACACAGATGAGAAGAAATAAACAACATTATGTTATCCATGAATGTAAAACTGGTTGTCTACATCTTGTAAATAAAACAAAAATAATGATTTGATGAAAGTAAACTATAATCGGATTCTCTTTTCTCACGTTGATAATTTTTTTGTGTTTTTAGGTTACTTGGAATTAAAAACCATTCGAAGACGTTTTATGAGAGAGCTACACACAAAAACTGCATTTTATTAATAAAATAATCTTGTCGAAGTAATTTGTAATGTGCTTCGTTTAATGGAAAAATTTGTCATTATCTACGGTTATCTGAACGTTATAAAAAAAACACTTAAATTAATTAGAGATAGTATCTTTCTAATTGCCTATTTCGACAGTATCACTGAGATTTGATTTTCATTGATAAATTTTTTTTGCATTTTTGTTTTGCATTGTTTTCTGACTGTGTCCATGACTCATTATGCTTTCTTATCAATATTTTGCGTAAGTTAATAAATAATAACGCAATGTGCCATTCAGTAATCCGTCGGTTATTAATTTAAAAGAAAAATTGTTTTACTTTTAAGTATCTGAGGATTAAATAATAGGTCCTTAACTTTTTTTTAGTTGATTCAACAATTAATTACTTAATTTCTTGCTACAAAGACAGTTTGAAGAATAGGAATCTTGTAAATAAACGTATAAATTTTACTAGTAAATATCAAATTTTTGATTGTATTGTTGGTTGCATTCTGCATTTTTTTGGCGTGGAGCTTCTCGTTAATAACCCTGTATAAACATAGCTTCTAACGATTGTCAAAATAGTATATATATACCAACACAATATATCTGAGAAAACTATGTACTTAGGTCCTCGTTATCAACGGTTATCTAAGCTTCTAACATAAAAAGTCACTTAAGCCCATTAAAGACACTTTATCTATTTAACCTCTTAGTTTTGTTATAAGTATAACTTAGTTTCATTTTCGATCTCTCACTAGCTATTTATGTAAAAGTTTTAAGAAGGGCTGTTAACGATCAGAAATGTTTAATCTACTATGGTTGGTAGTGCGGCTTGCAGTTGACCACATTTTTAAAACACATTTCCAGGTACCTCTTGATCGTAGTCATCATTTGTATGAACACTGTTCATCCTCAAAGCGACTGCAGCAAAGAAGACGAACTCTACGTAATAAGAAGCATATCGTCAGGTTTGGTATTAGATGCTTCGGAGCCAGATGAAATCCAGATAAATTATTTCACGGGATATTCTCCACAACTGTGGAAATTTGAGCGTGGTAGTCACGCCGGTGTGTTTCGCATTGTCAACAACGCTACAGGGTAACCCTAATTTCAATTTTTGATTGGTACTACTACTAACATCGTAGATCTCCATTGGACTATAGCTATTACGTTGAAGAGTGGTACGTCCTTACCGTCAATGCATCCTCAGAGCAGGAATTTTACATCAACGCAAAAGGTACCATCACCAATGTAAAAACGCTGTGGAATATTGACATACATCACAACTACACAGCCGCAGGAAGTCCGGTGGGACTGCACGCCGAAAATCCTAATAACTTGGCTCAGCAGTTCACGTTGCAAGAAAAAATGCTCTTGGGAAAACATGAACCATAAATTGTTAGTCATTATCATTATTATCAGCGGTTGTCTCAACTTATAAAATAAAACATCACTTAAGTTATCTAACTTTAATATCTATCTAGTCAATTTTTGTTTCCTTGACTTGTAAGAGCACACATTTAGTTAATAATTTTTAGATGACGTCATTCAATTTTTGGAGGGGATACGCATGAATTTTTAACGATAATAAGTACGCGTGTTGAGTTCGATGACATACCAAGGGCACATACACTTGTAATAAAAGTCAATGAACAGAAACAAACAAACAGTATCCCGTACTACCGACAGCTCACCTACGACGCGCATCTTTAAACAGGTTTTATTTATTCCCAAAAAAACCCAATCGATAATTATATAAATAAAGATCGTCCTCTTGTACCACCAAACCAGTGTACGACATGAAGTACCTTTACGCACAATCCATCACTTTGTTGCTCGTGGTGTGTGTTGGTCTGATCTCCGCCACGAGTAACTGCACCGACGATGATCTCTACGTTATAAGAAGTACTCCTTCGATTGGGCTTGTGGTGGATGGTACCGACCACAAGAAAATTAGTGTGCAGGCTTACACTGGTTTTAGTACTCAGTTGTGGAAATTTAGGACTGGGGACAGGCCTGGGTTGTACTACATCATTAATAGTCATTCGGGGTAAGGTACTACTTTTTTGTTTTGAGTAATTAATGTTAACTGGTTTGCAGGCTTGCTCTTGATTATATTGACAGTAAAGAGCCTGCGATAGTCTTGACCGAACAAAGGGATACTTTGGATCAGCAATGGATGGTGAACACGAATGGTCATATTGTTAATGCTGGGAAAATGTGGAATATGGATATTCACAAAGCCCGCTATGTGGCTGGAAATGCTCTCATTGTGTGGGAGAACAATGGGTGCGAGTGCCAGAAGTTCACTCTGCAGAAGAAAGTGTAGGGTACGACTGGTACCACTCCAGTGAGAAAATAGTATTTCTAAAGTTATTTGTAAACAATTGTGGGATCGTGAATCCAAATAAATAAGTAAAATTTGAGTCTAATTTAATTTTTAAATTTGTTTGTTGTAAAATGCTAAGAAATTTTACGACGATTTCACAAGGCCAGACTTGCGTCAATATTATAAATTCAAATTTTTTCTATTGGAAGAAATAGAAAAAAGTTGTAAATTTAAACCAGTTAGAAGACCTGCATCGTAATTAGTTCTATAAAGTAAGGTAGTTCTATAAAGTAAGGTACTACTTCCGCGTGGTGAATAATTTGAGGAACTATTATAACTTAAAAACGAATCATCCAAATTTTTGCAAAAATAATGGGCGCGGCCGCTTAATTCTTGTCTATTATTTGTTAGTACTTAACTATCACAAATAGCAAAAAAAGCATTGTCGCCATAAATATTTTAAAATTCATTTACGTATTCAACAAATTCACGGTTGACAACTTTCGAAAATTTAACAGCTTTTCGTAATTTGCATCAAAATTAATTTAGTTTCCAAAATTCCCACACTTCCGTGGATTTCCCGACTTTCCCAGAACCAAACCAACTCATCAATGAACATCACGCTTTCTTCAAGCCACAAACTATGCCACCACAGTACCCCGTACTGCCTAGGCAGCAAAAACCCACCTACGCGCTTCTTAAACAGGTTTTATTCACTCCTAAAAAACCCAGCCGATAATTTATAAATAAAAGATCGTACACCGGTACCACCAAAACAAAGTACGGCAGCGACATGAAGCACGTTTACGCACAATCCTTGACTTTGTTGTTGGTGGGCGTTGGAGTCATCTCCGCTACGAGTACCTGCAGCGATGATGATCTCTACGTTATAAGAAGTGCCGCTTCGATTGGCCTGGTTGTGGATGGTACCGACCATAGGCAAATTACCGTGGAGCCCTACACTGGTTTCAGCACGCAGTTGTGGAGATTTAAGATTGGTAACCGGCCTGGGTTGTACTACATCATCAACAACCATACGGGGTAAGGTACCACTTTTTAGTTTGAGTAAATTACGTTGTTGTTTGCAGCCACGCTCTGGATTTTATTGATCGTAAAGTGCCTGTGCTCGTCTCCACCGAGCCCAGAGACACTTTGGATCAGCAGTGGATGGTTAGTATGAATGGTACTATTGTCAATGCCGCGAAATTGTGGAACCTCGATATTCACAAAGCTGAGTACGTAGCCGGGAATGGTCTCATTGTTTGGGAGAATAACGGGTGCGAGTGCCAGAGGTTCACTCTACAGAGGAAAGTGTAGGGTTTGGTACGACTTGTCATGGTACTACATCCATTTTGTATTTGTTTCGATGTAAATTTAAAGTGTTTTACAAAAAATAAACCAATAATTATAACTTGTGTCTAATTTAATTTTTAAATTAGTATCGTGAGTAATAATTGCGTAGCGGGTACTTTGAGTTCGATGACATATCAAGGGCACATACACGCACATCACGACAAAAATATACTCATTTCAACGTAAACAACGCAAGGATAATTATAACTTGACTCAAAATTAGACAATTTTTCCTGAACTAATTGATAAAACAACTTGGTTTTGCTTTAATTTTGTCCTTAGGGCGGCTTTTTCATTACCTCTAGTATCATTCTCCTCTCTTTCGGATTTTTCGTTCACCGGGTTCTTTATTTCCTGAAGGTGTCCCTTACGAAAGTTGGCGAAACGTGGAAACGCTTTTCAAATTTTTGATAAACAATATATAAGTCAAAAATCATCAGAACTGATGGATTTTGTAATTATGGGGCGGAGCCTAATTGCAAAATCGATATTTCCCTATACAAATTTTCCATTTCAAACATGTTTTAAGTTTCATGTCATGAGAAGAAGTCTACACATATTAAAACAAAAAGGGAAAATGTAAGCTCGCCCACCCGCCCCATCTCTATTATGATGATTTTTTTTATTCGCCGTGAACCAAGGGGGCGGAGCTTAACTGCAAAATACTTATTTTTTTACAAGAAATTAGAAACATGGTTTCGGGTATCGTGTTGTTCAAATAATGCTATGTAAACTAAGGAAACAAGGCAAAATATAAACCCCGCCCACCCACCCCCTCTCAATTGTGATGATTTTTTATTCTTAAAAACTTAAAACGTTTTTAAAATGATAAATTTTTGTAAGAAAATAGAGACTTTGAAATTAAGTTCCGCTCCTTTGGTTATCGACGATTGAAAAAAAATCATCACAATTGAAATAGTGTGGGTGGGCGGGGCTTATATTTTGCTTTCTTTCTTAATATACGTAGTCGTCTTTTCAGAACAAGAAACTTAAAACATGTTTAAAATGGTAACTTTTTGCAGACAAATATTTACCTAGCAATTAAGCCCCGCCCCTCGAATTGACAACGAATGAAAAATTCATCACAATTGAAAATTGAGGTCGGGGTGGCTTTGAGTGGCGCCTAATCTATAGCTTTATTTTTTTTCTTAATATACATAGTATTCTTTGAACAACACGATACTCAAAAACATGTTTTTAATTTCTCGTAGAGAAATAAGAAGTTTGCAGTTAAGCTCTGCCCTCTTGGCTCACAATGAATAAAAAAATCATCTGATTTGAGAAAGGGTGGGTGGGCGGGGTTTATATTTTGCCTATTTTTTCTTAATATACACAGCTATCTTTTTACAACAAGAAACTTAAGTCTATACATGTTAAAACAAAAAGACAAAATGTAAGCCCGCCCACCCGCCCTGTCTCAATTGTGATGATTTTTTTTATTCGCCGTGAATCAAGAGGGCGGAGCTTAACTGCAAAATCTTATTTCTTTACAAGAATTATAAACATGTTTTCTAGTATCGTGTTGTTCAAAGAATATTATGTATATTAAGAAATCAAGGCAAAATATAAACCCCGCTCACCCTCCCCCTCTCAAGTGTAATGATTTTTTATTCTTAGAAATTCAAATCGTGTTTAAACTAGTAAATTTTTGCAAAAAAATTTGGATCTCGACGACTAAAAAAAGCATTACAATTGAAATAGGGCGGGTGGGCGGGGCTTATATTTTGCCTATTTTTTCTTAATATACACAGCCATCTTTTCACAACAAGAAACTTAAGTCTACACATGTTAAAACAAAAAGGCAAAATGTACCTCCGCCCACCCGCCCTGTCTCAATTGTGATGATTTTTTTATTCGCCGTGAACGTGGAGCTTAACTGCAAAAGCTTATTTCTTTACAAGAATTATAAACATGTTTTTGAGAATCGTGTTGTTCAAAGAATATGTATTTTGTATATTAAGAAAACAAGGCAAAATATAAACCCCGCCCACCCACCCCCTCGCAATTGTAATGATTTTTTTTATTCGCCGTGAATCAAGAGGGCGGAGCTTATCTGCAAAATCTTATTTCTCTACGACAAATTAAAAACATGTTTTTAGTATCGTGTTGTTCAAAGAATATTATGTATAATAAGAAATCAAGGCAAAATATAAACCCCGCTCACCCTCCCCCTTTCAAGTGTAATGATTTTTTATTCTTAGAAATTCAAATCGTGTTTAAACTAGTAAATTTTTGTAAAAAAATATGGATCTCGACGACTAAAAAAAATCATTACAACTGAAATAGGGCGGGTGGGAGGAGCTTATATTTTGCCTTTTTTCTTAAAAGACAAAATATAAGGAGAAATTTAAAACATGTTTAAAATCGTAAATTCTTTAGACAAATATGGATCTTGCTGTAAGCCCCGACCCTCGATCTGACAACGAATGAAAAATTCATCACAATTGAGAATTGAGATCTGCGCAGGTATGGGCGGGGCCTAATCTTTAGCTTTATTTTTTTCTTAATATACATAATATTCTTTGAACAAGAATACGATACTCAAAAACGTGCTTTTAATTTCTCATAGAGAAATAAGAAGTTTGCAGTTAAGCTCCGCCCTCTTGGCTCACAATGAATAAAAAAATCATCCGATTTGAGAAAGGGTGGGTGGGCGGGGTTTATATTTTGCCTATTTTTTCTTGATATACATAGCCATCTTTTCACAACAAGAAACTCAAAACATGGTTAAAATGGTACATTTTTGCAAGGAAATATGGATTTTACAATTATGAGACAGAGCCTAATTGCAAAATCGATATTTCCTTATACAAATTTTCCATTTTAAACATGTTTTAATTTAATGTTGTGCAAAGAAGTCTACACATATTAAATCAAAAAGGCAAAATCTAAGCCCGCCCACCCGCCCTACCTTAATTATGATGATTTTTTTTATTCGCTGTGAACCAAGAGGGCGGAGCTTAACTGCAAAATCTTATTTCTTTACAAGAATTAAAAACATGTTTTTGAGTATCGTGTTGTTCAAAGAATATTATGTGTATATTAAGAAAACAAGGCAAAATATAAACCCTACCCACCCACCCCCTCTCAAGTGTAATGATTTTTTATTCTTAGAAATTCAAATCGTGTTTAAACTAGTAAATTTTTGTAAGAAAATATGGATCTCGACGACTAAAAAAAAAATCATCACAATTGAAATAGGGCGGGTGGGCGGGGCATATATTTTGGCTTTTTCCTTAAAAGACAAAATATAAGAAGAAACTTAAAACATGTTTAAAATGGTAAATTCTTTAGACAAATAAATACCTATGGATCTTGCTATTAAACCCCGCCCCTAGATCTGACAACGAATGAAAAATTCATCACAATTGAGAATTGAGATTTGGGTAGGTATGGGTGGGGCCTAATCTTTGGCTTTATTTTTTTCTTAATATACATAATATTCTTTGAACAAGAATACGATACTCAAACATGTTTTTAATTTCTCGTAGAGAAATAAGAAATTTGCAGTCAAGCTCACGACGAATAAAAAAATCATCCGATTTGAGATAGGGTGGGTGGGCTGGGTTTATATTTTGACTATTTTTTCTTAATATAAATAGCCATCTTTTCACAACAAGAAACTTAAGTCTACACATGTTAAAACAAAGAGACAAAATTTAAGCCCGCCCACCCGCCCTGTCTCAATTGTGATGATTTTTTTATTCGCCGTGAAACAAGAGGGCGGAGATTAACTGCAAAATCTTATTTCTTTACAAGAATTAAAAACATGTTTTTGAGTATCGTGTTGTTCAAAGAATATTATGTATATTAAGAGACCAAGGCAAAATATAATATCCCCTCTCAATTTTTTTTAATGGGTGGGGCCTAATCTTTACCTTTTTTTTAAATATACATAGTATTCTTTGAACAACACAATACTCAAAAACATGTTTTTAATTCTTCGTAGAGAAATAAGGATTTTGCAGCTAAGCTCCGCCCCCATGATTCACGACGAATAAAAAAAATCGTCACAATTGAGATAGGGCGGGTGGGCGGGGCTCCATTTTGCCTTTTCTTCTTAATATGTGTAGACTTATTTCGACAACAAGAAACTTTACGTTAAACTTTATAAATCCCGTTTAAATATGCAAACGAACGATTTTTACAAAATTATCAGTGATCAGTGAATTTACCTCAAATGCTATTATCTTGCAGAGTCATTCAAACTATTAAGTACAAAAATTGAACAATTTGAACCTTGAATATTTAATTACAGTTTTTCTAAACTTCGTAGTTGACATACATAATTAAAAAAAATTATGGTTCTGAGTTGAAAATTGTACCATTGGTGTTATCAGATAATTTCGTCATTAATTTATATTCCAATTAAAATCTGTAAACGACGTCAATAATTTGTTGGTGGGGACGATCAGCCAAATTTTAAATCCGAAAAAAAATTTAATATTGTCAGCATATCGCCAATAAATGATAACCTCTTCACTTTCCACGACGATCAACCTATATTTAAACCTTGTCAGCGCATTTCAGAGCAATCTACCTCAAAATGTACTTATTTCTTCCAATCGTCTATCTGAGCCTCGTTGCCACTTTGAGTACCACCTGCAGTGACGACGACCTTTACGTCATACGCAGTGCCGCCCCCAGTGGTTTAGTTCTGGACGCCACCGACCCCACCCAAATAAAAATACAGCACTTCAATGGCTTTAGTACCCAGTTGTGGAAATTTGAACGTGCCCCTAGACCCGGTTTATACTACATTATCAACTCCTACTCAGGGTAAGCCACCATGCCTTTAAACAGTACCCCTATACCCGTACTGTCTTTATCCAGGAAAGTCCTCGATTTTGAATCAAGGGACTTCGTAGACGTCGTACTGAGTGAACGTACAAACACCCCAAACCAACAGTGGAGTTTAACTCTGAACGGGCGAATCGTCAACGTTGCGAAGAAATTCAAGGTCGACATCTACAAGCAGGACTTTACCCCAGGAGTTCACGTGATCCTGTGGAATGATAGTCAAAGTGTAAACGAGGAGTTCGTCCTCGAGAAGAAAGTTTAATTGTGGAAATAAAGCTTTTGGTACTACTTATCACCTAGCTCATTATCGTCCCTCTCCGGATGTCACGATATCCGTAAAATCCAGTCGCAACGAGACTCGAAAATGACCGTTAAAGAAATTCCCAGTCAGGAGTGGAGTTTGTCCCTAAATGGTACTATTATCAACGAGTACAATGTCGACAAGAAAATTTGATAAATAAAATAATTACAAATTTTGCCGTGAACTTTCAACCCGCTAGTCGGTGATATCGCCCAACAAAACGCACAAATTAAACAATCTAGTTCGAGAAATGGTTACAACGGTACTCTCCACATGGTACGACTAACCTCACTTTTGCTATCCACTTTACCAAAATTACAGGTGCACCTTTGCCTTATTTATTATCTGCGTAAAAACTGGTGGTACTTCGGAAAGATGCACTTATGACAAATTCTACGTTATCAGAAGTGTGGCTCCCAGTGGTTTAGTACTGGATGCTACGGAACCATCCCAGCTGAAAATCCAGTACTACATTGATTCCAATGCACAAGTATGGATTTTCGAACGTGGAGACCGACCTGGGTTATTCTACATTATTAACAGGGCTACAGGGTAGGCAAATTTCGTGGATAAACCCGGACTCATTGATTTTTGTAGCAAAGTACTCGACGTTAAAAGCGATTCTTATCTCTACGTAAATACCAGAACGAATTCGTCTCAACAGCAGTGGTTTCTAGATTCCAGGGGAAAAATCACCAACTATGGTCTACTCAAGAATGTTGATGTTCAAGGCGCGAAATTCGAAGCAGGCGTACCTGTGTTGGTGTGGAAGGAAAATTTTGACCAAAACGTAAATCAGAAGTTCATTTTACAGGAAAAAGTCGCAATGTGTAAGGGATGTTAATATGACTTGTGTTTGAAATATATATTTCTATACTGGATCATCGACTTTATCACCGTTTCCCGGAAACTAAAACTATCTTATCCTTATTCGATTTCCTTTTTCATCAGTGTTATACAAAGCGAACTTTTATAGAAAAATTCCCATCAGTGCATCAGTACCACTATGGCATCCAACCATCGACAAGTACGGTACGTAAATCCGGCAACTTTTTCTCTATTATTTATTATTATTATATCATTTTTACAGCAAAGTTTTGCTTTTTTTACTTATCTCATCTTTAAAAGTTATTTTTACCCACGATTGCGACCACGAGGACTTGTACATTATAAGAAGTGCGATCCAGTATGGACTGGTACTGGATGGTACCGATCACAATTACATCAAAATACAGCCCTTCGCTGGATTCTGCAGCCAGTTCTGGAAAATGGAAACGGCTTCCAGAGCCGGATTGTTTTACATAGTGAACAAGTGCACAGGGTGAGTACTTAAATATTTGTAGACCAAAGTTATAACCAAATTTCGTAGAACTGTTCTGGATGTCGAATATGTGGATGCCATCGGTACCTGGAAGACCCTTTTAAAGAAGAAAAATGGTTCTATGGTTCAACAGTGGGTACTCAAAGAGAACGGACGAATTATGAATGCGGAAAAACTCTATAACTTGGACATATTTAGCGCAGGGTACACTATCGGGAATACTGTAAATATCTGGAAAGACAATGGGAATGGGGCACAAGAGTATATTTTGCAAAGAACACCCAGCTGCCATAAGGGCGACGACTACAGCCAACATTTGTGAAAGTTTCTTGAATACAATAAATAATAATTTTTGTGCTGACGTCATCAGTTTTCTGGAAGGGACCAATAAATACATTTTAATGAATTTTGTGTTTCCATAAACCACGATAATTTTTTATCATTTTCACTAACCACAAGTGTTCAGGGGATATCCCTTGCATTATCTTTGCCAAACCATAACGATAATAATACTCAGATCTACTGCACTATGACGACGCGCACAAGGTACGTAATTTTAGAAATCAATCTAAAAATTTTCAAATCTATTAAATCGTGTTTAATTGTTATAGGAAGATCATTGTTTGCTTAATATTAACGTGTTTCGCTTCCATCCGTGCTTGCACCGATGATGAGTACTATATTATAAGAAGCAAAGCCTCAAATGGTTTGGTTCTAGACGGTGAAGACCAAGCTCAAATCAGAATCCAACATTTCACTGGTTTTAGTACCCAACTTTGGAAATTGGAACGAGGTAACAAAGCCGGCTTATTTTACATAGTTAGCAAACACTCGGGGTAAGTAAATAATTAAACAGTTTTTGTTGAAAAATAAGTCCTGGTTTTCCAGAAGAGTCATGGACATCGTCAACTCTTATAACATATATTTGAACGAAAAAAATGGTGCGTTGGTCCAACAGTGGGTCTTAAAAGACAAAGGTCGAATAATGAATGCAGAGAAACGTCTCAACGTGGATGTACAAAACGCCAATTTTACTCCTGGGGCAACCGTCCAGATATGCTCGGATAATGGGAGTCAAGCTCAAAAATTCGTCCTGCAGAAAAAAACATAATTACTTTATTTTGAACATTATTGTTAATTTTATTGTATTAATAAATTCTCTGAAAGTAAAACGTTTATGAACAACTAATCGTGTTTTTAAACGAATATTACAGGAAAGTGGAAAATTCAAAACGACAATCAAGTCGGTTTAATAAATTACCTGATAAACGAGGTCTTCCTAATTACTATACTGTCGACTCTTAACAACAGCGATAACACAACCTTAGTGGTATTTCTTCATTGTTTTTTAACGTGCAGAAACATAACTCACCTCGCCGACCTCATTCTTATGCAAATTTGTTTTACAAGCTCCTGCATCAACAAATATTATTTTCTTCTTTTTTTAATCTCGACGAACAAGAAAAACCGAGGTAAGTTTACATACAAAATAATAAATAACGAAGTCAATATCATTAGTTCGGTTCAATGTTTCATGGAACCGGCACATAGTAAATGATCGCCGCAAATACGAAATATCGAGAAATTGTACAATTGAAAAATTGAAACATCGGGAAATTGAGAAATCAAAAAAATTTATAAAGCAAATAATGAAAAAATCAAAATCCGAAAACATCAAAAAAACGGAAGATGACAATGAAACGACTAAAAAATAGAAATGTCAAAAAACTGCGAAAATCGAAAAATCGAGAAATCTACGATTTTAAAAATTTTAAAATTAAATCATCGAAAAATTGAAAAATCGAGAAATCGAAAATCCAAAATTTGAAAAATCGCAAAAATTTGAAAAAACGGAAAATTGAAGAGTCGAAAAACTGAACAATCGAAAAATTAAAAAATTTCTAAACTGAGGTGTGGAAAAATTCGGAAACTGAAAAGCGGAAAAGTCGAAAAATCGAAAAACCGAAAAACATCGAAAAATTCAAAAACTGAAGCAAAGAGAAACCGAAACATCAAAAGATCGAGCAATCGAAATGGGCCAAAATCGAAAAATCAAATAATTAAAAATTGAACAAAAATTGATAAAACGAAACATCGAAAAACTGAAAAACTGAAAAGTTGAAACATTGAAAAGTCGAGTAATCGAAAACTGGGGACATCAAAAAATCAATTAATTCAGATATTGAGAAATTGAAACATTCAAAATTTGGAAACGTAAAAAAGTGAAATATCGAAAAATTGAAGAGTCGAAAACTGAAATATCGAGAAGTTGAAAAACCCAAAAATAGGCAAATCAAAAATCCAAAATTTTAAAAATTGTGAAAATTTAGAAATCGGAAAACTGAAGAATCATAAAACTGCAAAAATCGAAAGATTGAAAAATTCCAAAACTGAAATGACAAAAGATTGGAAAATTGAAAAACCAAAAAGTTTAAAAATCGAAAAACCAAGAAGCTTCGAAAAATTAAAAAATTGAAACTTCGAGAAACCGAAACATCAAAAGATCGATAAAATCGAGAAATCGAAAAGTCGAGAAGTCAAAAAATCGAAAAACTGACAAATTGAAACAAGCCAAAATCGAAAAATTAAAAATTGAAAAAGTGAAAAATTTAGAATTAAAAATATAGATAAAACGGAAAATCGAGAAATTGAAGAATTGAAAAACTGAAAAATTGAGACTTTGAAAAGAGAAGTAAACGAAAAATGGGAAAATCAAAGGATTAATTAATCAAGAAATTGAGAAATCGAGAATCCAAAATTTTAAAAAACAAGAAATCGAGAATTGGAAAATTTAAAGAATCTAAAATTTGAAGATTCGAAAAATTGAAAAATCCCAACACTGAAATATAGAAAAACCGAGAAATCGGGGAATCGAAAATCCAAAATTTAAAAAATCGCAAAAATTGAGAAATCAAAAAATTGAAGAATCGAAAAACTAAAAATCCAGAGATTGAAAAATTCCAAAACTGAAATGATAATAAATTGGGACATTGAAAAGCCGAAAAGTGGATAAATCGGAAAACCGAGAAACTTAGAAAAATTCAAAAACTGAAACTTCGAGAAACCGAAACATCAAAAGATCGATAGAATCGAGAATTCGAAATGTCGAGAAGTCAAAAAATCGAAAAACTGAGAAATTGAAACAAGCCAAAATCGAAAAATTAAAAATTAAAAATTGAAAAAGTGAAAAATTCAGAATTAAAAATATAAATAAAACGGAAAATCGAAAAATTGAAGAATTGAAAAACTGAAAAATTGAGACTTTGAAAAGAGGAGTAAACGAAAAATCGGAAAATCAAAGGATCAATTGATCGTGAAATTGAGAAATCGAAAATCCATAATTTTAAAAATTGTGAAAATTGAGAAATCGTAAAACTGAAGAACCACAAAACTGCAGAAATCGAAAGATTGAAAAATTCCAAAACTGAAATGACAAAAGATTGGAAAATTGAAAAACCACAAAGTTTAAAAATCGAAAAACCAAGAAACTTCGAAAAATTTAAAAATTGAAACTTCGAGAAACCGAAACATCAAAAGATCGATAAAATCGAGAAATCGAAAAGTCGAGAAGTAAAAAATCGAACAACTAAGAAATTGAAACAAGCCAAAATCGAAAAATTAAAAATTAAAAATTGAAAAATTGAAAAAGTGAAAAATTTAGAATTAAAAATGCAGATAAAACGGAAAATCGAGAAATTGAAGAATTGAAAAACTGAAAAATTGAGACTTTGAAAAGAGAAGTAAACGAAAAATGGGAAAATCAAAGGATCAAATAATCGAGAAATTGAGAAATCGAGAATCCAAAATTTTAAAAAACAAGAAATCGAGAATTGGAAAATTTAAAGAATCTAAATTGAAAAATCCCAACACTGAAATATAGAAAAATTGAGAAAGCAGAAGTTGAATAAACGAGAAATCGAAAAGCCGAAAAATCGAAAAATTGAGAAATCGAAAAATTGAAATATCGAAAAGAGAAAAACTGAGAAATCGGGGAATCGAAAATCCAAAATTTAAAAAATCGCAAAAATTGAGAAATCAAAAAATTGAAGAATCGAAAAACTAAAAATCCAGAGATTGAAAAATTCCAAAACTGAAATGATAAAAAATTGGGACATTGAAAAGCCGAAAAGTGGAAAAATCGAAAAACCAAGAAACTTCGAAAAATTCAAAAATTGAAACATCGAGAAGCCGAAGCATCAAATGATCGAGAAAATAAATATAAATAAATAAATAGAGCTTTATTCCAACAGACAATTAGTCTATAGTGGAAACAAATAACATAAACAAAAGTATTCAGAGAAAAAAAACATCAAAATATAAATCTTACTAAACTTAAACTTAAAATGAGAAATCGAAAAGTCGAGAAGTCAAAAAATCGCAAAATTGAGAAATCCAAACAGGCCAAAGTAGAAAAATTTAAAAATTAAAAATTGAAATAGTGAAAAATTTAGAATTAAAAAATAGATAAAACAAAAAAATGAAAAACTGAACAATTGAAAAACTGAAAAATTGAAACTTTGAAAAGTCGAGTAATCGAAAAATAGGAAAATTACAGAATCAATTGATCAACAAATTGAGAAATGGAGAAATGAAGAAATCAAGAAATCAAAAAATCGAAAATTTGAAGAATCGAAAAATTGAGAAATCGGAATTTGAAAAATAGGGAAACCGAAAAGCCGAAAAATTGAAAAATCGAGAAACTAAAATATCGAGAAACCGAAACACGAAAAAATCGAGAAAATCGAGAAATCGCAAAATCGAGAAGTCCAAAAATCGAAAAATTGAAGAGCTGAAAGACTGAAAAATCGAAACATTGAAAATTCTAGAAATCGGAAAATGTGAAAATAAAAAATCAATTAATCGGGAAATCGAGAAACCGAAAAATCCCAACACTGAGATATCGAAAAATTTAAGAGTCGAAAAAGTATAAATTCCTAAAACTGAAACATCGGAAAATTGAGACATCGGAAAATTAAGAAATCGGCAAATCGAAAATTTGAAGAATCGAAAAATTGAAAAATCCCAACACTGAAATATTGAAAAAGTATTTAAAAAAAAGTTGTAATTCGAGAATTTGAAAAATGAATAAATTAAATATCGACAAATTGAAACATCGGAAAAATTGACGAATAAAAAACTAAAAGATCCTAAAACTGAAATATCGAAAAATTCAGAAATCGAAAGGAGAAAAATCGAGAATCGAAAAGCCAACAAATGGAAAAATTAAGAAATGTACAATTTAAAAAATCGAAAAATCAAAAAACCAAAGTCAAATTTTAAAAATTCGAAAAATTGAAAAATCGAAATATCAAAAAGCTGAAAAATCGAAAATTGAGAAATCCACAATTTGAAAAATTTTAAAATTAAAATATCGAAAAACTGAAAAATCGAGAAATCGCGACATCAAAAGTTCGAAAAATTGGGAAATTTAAAAATCTAAAACTTCAAAATCGAAAAATTGATATATCGAGAAGTCGGAAAACCGAGAAATCGAAAATCCAAAATTTTAAAATTGTAAAATTTGAAAAATCGGAAAATTGAAAAATCAAAAAACTTAAAAATCGAGAAACTGAAAAATTCCGAAACTGAGATGATGAAAAATTGGCCAATTGAAACGCCGAATCGTTAAAAAATCGAAAAATCGAAAATTGTAAATGGGAATAGGCCAAACTCGAAAAATGGAACAGCTAAAAATTGAAAAATTGAAATATTTAGAATTAAAAAATCGATAAATCGAAAAATTGAAACAAAAAATTGAAGAATTGAAAAACTGAAAAATCGAAACAATGAAAAGTCGAGAAATCGAAAAATGCGAAAATCAGTTAATCAGAAAAATCCAGAAATTGTAAAGTTCCCAAAATTGAAATATTGAAAAGTCGATAATACGAAAAGGGGAAAATTTTTTTAAATCAAATAACCAAAAAAAATCGTGAAATAAAAAAAATTGAAAAATCGAAACATGTACAATTTAAACAATAGAAAAATTGAAAAATCTACAGTTTTAAAAATTTTAAAATTAAAATATCGAAAAACTGAAAATTCGAGAAATCGAAACATTAAGAAATAGAAAAATTAAAAATAAGAAAATGGAAATATCGAGAAATCGAAAAACCGAGGAATCCAGAAATCGAGAATCAAAATTTAATAAAATCGCAAAAATTTTGAAAAATCGAAAAATTGCAGAACCGAAAAACTGAAAAAACGAGAAAGTGAAATGTTAAAAAGACCAAAAGTGGAAACATCTGAATCATCGAAACGCCTAAACATAAAAAAGAGAAGTCGAAAATTCGAAGAATCGAAAAATTGAGAAATCGAAATGGGCCAAAATAGAAAAATCAAAAAGTTAAAAACTGAAAAAATGAAAAATTTTTAACATAAAAACAATCCATAGAAAAACTGAAGAATCAAACACTGAAAAGCCGGGAAATCCAAAAATGGGAAAAAACAATTAATCGTGAAATGAAAAATCGAAGAGTCGAAAAAGTGCAAAATTGTAAAACCGAAACATTCAAAAATTGCGAAATCTAAATAAGAAGAAATCGAGTAATCGAAAATTTGAAGAATCGAAAATTGAAAAATCCCAAAACAGAAATATCGAAAAAATTTAGTAAATAAACTGAAATTTGAGAAATTGAAAAATCGGAAAACTGAAGAATCGAAACACTGAAAAATCTAGTAACTGAAAAATTCCAAAACTGAAATGATGAAAAATTGGAAAAATTAAAAAGCCGAAAAGTCGAACAATTTAAAAACCGAGAAATTGAAAAATTGAAACCCGAAGAGTCAAAAAATCGAAAGATCGAGTCAAAAATGAAAAAGTGAAAATTTTGGAAATAAAAATCGATAAAACGAACAATTGAAAATGGAAAAATTGAAGAATTGAAAAATCCCAACACTGAAATATCGAAAAATTGAGTAAAAAAATTGAAATTCGAGAAACTGAAAAAACGAAAAATCGAAGCATAAAAACTGAAAAATTCCAAAACTAAAGCAGCAAAATCGAGAATCAAAAAGCCAAAAAATCGAAAAATTGAGAAATCCCAGAACTCTTATAATAATAACTTTATTCAGCCGTTACATAGAAACACTACATTTGGCATCGTTCCACACAAAAACATGTATACAATATTCTACAGAAATAACAAGTAGGTATATCACAATTAGACACATGTCGACAACAAATACAAACAGATAAATCGAACTTAGAATACATGGTCGCGAAACTCTTTGACACTGTAGAAAGCATTTGACAGGAGAAACTACAATTTTTAAATTTTTCTTCCAAATCTCTGGATGCCTAAGATAAAATCTCAATACGGATCATAAACCACAAATAGATGAGTACTGGAAACTTTTCAATATTGAAAACGTGTGAACAGTATTGTGATATCAGGTATCTAATAAACTGCAATTTCCAGTGTCTATTTTTCTAGCCCCATAAAAGCCCATCTTTAAATTCAATTAGTACGCGAAATAAAATCTGCTATAAAGACTTTTCAAGCAACAATATATTATTTTTAATTATTCGTAAAAAACTTATGAACCTCATAAATGAGGTTGATAAACTTATACAAAAACGGGGTCAGTGTCAGCTCCTATCTCACTAAAAAAAACCTTTGTTACACAAGGATGAGTAATTAACGCATTCGCAGTATTAAAACTAATCCATTTTCTGCAAATTTAACAAGACTTTTTTATTTGCATTCACTATCTCTGTGTATAAAACTGGAACATCGCAAAAAAGTCTTAGTGATAATGGCGTTCCCTCAGCGTTTAGTACCGTAAGTACTAAACATTTATTTTTCTAATAATGATTAATTTGTTAAACGTAGCCTCGCCTTATTGCTTCTGGCTTTGACACTGTATTCAGTCTCACCTCACGGAATAGTCCGCCGCAAAATCTACGTCATCAGAAGTACCGGACCACATGGTCTTGTTCTAGACGCCACCAACCCATCCCTATTAACCGTCCAACATTTCACTGGTTTCAAACCCCAACTATGGACGTTCGAACCCGGAAGCAAACCCGGGTTTTACTACATAATAAACGAATCGCAGGGGTTAGTAATTTTTTTTTTTAAGAACTATGGTCATTTTTAAACTCTGACTATTTCCCCCAGGAAAGTTCTAGATTACAACAGACCAGCTAGCTGGAATCTCGTACTAGCAAATCGTGACAACTCCTTGCACCAACAGTGGAATCTTGACTCCACTGGGAAGATCACGAATGCGGCTCTAAGCAAAAACATCGATATCTGGGGGGCAACTTTCACCCCTGGGACCCAAGTGGGACTGTGGCACGACGGGGATTATCCCAATCAAAAGTTCGCCCTGGAGGAAAAGTCTTAATGTTAAATAATTTGTTAAATAAGTTTAAATTTATGTGTACAAACTTATTCTAAAAACCTCATGTCTACATTTGTTGATAAACTTGTACAAAAACAAATATACGTAAGAAATCTTCGTTACGCAATCAATAATAATATAATCATAGACCGGAATAAAACTGTTTCCACGAATTTGGCAAATGTTTTCTATTTTCGTTCACTATCTGTGTTTATAAAAACCAACAAACAAAAATCTCTCAATCGTTATGGCGTCCCATCAGCGTTCAGTACCGTAAGTACTTACAATCTTCGTTCTAGTTAATTATTCATTTTTTTAACGCAGCCTCACTTTAGTGGTTTTATTTGCAACCCTCTGCCACATCGCCTCACCTTACAGAATACTTTACAACAAACTCTACGTGATCAGAAACAGCTGGCCAAACGATCTCGTCTTAGACGCCACAAACCAGTCCCAAATAACCATCCAACCTTTCTCCGGTCTTAAAACCCAACTGTGGAAATTCGAAGCTGGAACCGAACCCGGTTTATTCTACATAGTGAACGAATACCAGGGGTACGTACACACATTTTCACCAAAAAACTGACACCAGTTCCCGCAGGAAAGTTCTGGATTATAACAGACCAAACAGCCGGGCTCTGAGGGTAGCAGACCGCGACAATTCCAAGGACCAACAATGGATTATTAGCTTCACTGGAAAAATTACCAATGCACGTACAAAAAAGAACGTCGATATCTGGAGGAGGGACTACAGTCCTGGAACCAAAGTGGGACTGTGGAGCGGGACCGGATACCGAATCCAAAAGTTCGCCCTGGATGAAAGTTCTTAATGTTGTGTTTTTCTGAGTTGTTTATTGTTCAAATTTTTATGCAAATTTAGTTTATAAGCGTCTATAAATATCAATTGGGGATTTTTTAGTCTGTAGTACGGTAAATTCCTGACTGAAACTAATAAATAACGGCAAAAGAAAGAATATTGTTTCGGTTCAGCGTCTCGCGAGAGCGGCACACCCAGAAATTATCGTGCGATTCGCTTAGATTTTGTGCCGCCTACACAATACGGTGTTTGTAGTCGATGTGGATAAATTCGCCTGAAACCCCCAAGAGAATTATTCCTGTCGTGATGGCGTCTCCCGAAAATTGCATCGTACCGTAAGTACTATAGTACCACAATTTTTTGTACTAAACGTCTTTAATATTATAGATTCGTGTACTGTTTCTTGCTCTGTTTAATTAGAGCAACTGCGCAGACTTGTAGCGATAATCGTGTCACTACACAGTGCAGCGATGATCTTCTCTACGTCATAAGAAGTACCCACTTGAATGGGTTAGTGTTGGACGCCACCAACCAGACTCAACTATCAGTGCAACATTTCACCGGTTTTGGACCCCAATTGTGGAAACTTCAGCGTGGATCAAGACCTGATTTATTTTATATAGTGAACGAGTACCGAGGGTACGTACCAATTTTTTTTTTTTTTCAAAAACTGAATCTTTTCCCGTAGGAAAGTCCTGGATTATAATAGACCAGTTAGCTGGAGTTTGTTAGTCGCAGATCGTGACAATTCCTTGCACCAACAGTGGGTTCTTGACTCCTCGGGAAAAATTACTAATGCAGTACTTAGGAAAAATGTCGATATTTGGGGAGCTAATTTCACTCCTGGAGCAATAGTGGGACTATGGGACGATGGCGATCATCCAAATCAAAAGTTCGTCCTATTGGAAAAATCTTAATTTTTTTTTTGCTTTTTTTGTTCTTTATTAAATATTCTTTTCAAGATTAGTAGAGCATTATTTTATTATTTTTGGACGTGGTGGAATTCTTATACCCCTTTACTTTCCAAGCGTAAGCTGTCTGTCTCTCTGTCTATCTGTTTGTCTGTCTGTCGTCTGTCCGGATTTATATTATACAGAAAATCTCCGAAACTACTGGCCGATTGATGTCAAATTTTGTATGTATATTATGTCTCCAACCAAAAATTGTCCAATCATCAAATTGATTATCTCTCCAGAATTTAAAGCAGTAAATTTGTTTTTATTTTTGTACAAGAACATTTTGCAATTTAACTTTCAAAAATCGGGATTTACTTATTTACCTTCGACAATTTTTTTTGATATCACAATTTTGCGTTTTTCCTTATTCTTCGATTTTACAATTTTCTGTCACAATATTTCATTTTCCCATTTTCTCCAATATTCAATTTTTTCATTTGTCAATATTTCGGTCTCATTTTTCGATTTTTTAGTTTTTCGTTACGTCAATTTTTCAATTTCTTGATTTTCATTTTTCATTTTTCTGATTTTTTAATTTTCATTTTCTCGACTTTAGATCAATGCTTCCTTTAATTTTATATTTTTTCATTTATTCAATTGTTCAAATTTTCTAATTTTAAAATTTTTCAATTCTGCAATTTTTGGATGTCTCAATTAGCCGATTTTCCGATTTTTTAATTTTCAATATTTCCATTAAAAAAAACTAAAATTCTTAACATTCTTTCAAATTCTTCAAAAAAACCGTCAAGGGCTCCAAGATTGTGTCAATGTTCAAAAAAAGGGATTTTTTAAAATTCTTCCAGAAAAACCTTCCGTCCTCTAAAGATTCTTTCAAATTCATTAAAAACAGTATCGAGAGCTAAATTTTTCAAAAAAGAGGAAAGCTGTTGGAACAATAAAAAATTCTTCCAAATTACTTTATTATTTCAATATTTCTTATGATTTTAAAATTTTTCATTTATTCAATTGTTCAAATTTTCTAATTTTAAAATTTTTCAATTCCGCAATTTTTGGATTTCCCAATTATCCGATTTTCCGATTTTTAAAAAAAACTGTCAGGCGGCCCTAGATTCTTTTGAAATAAAAGACATTTTTAGGGGCCTATAAGATCGTTCCAAATTTTTCAGAGGCCCTTAAGATGCCTCAAATTTTTCAGAAAAAAAACTTATCAAGAACCTCTAAGATTCTTTCGAATTCTTCAAAAAAAAACCGTCAAGGGCTCCAAGATTGTTTCGATGTTAAAAAAATGGGATTCTTTAACATTCCTCACGAAAAACCGTCCGTCCTCTCAAGATTCTTTCAAATTCAAAAACAGCATCAAGAGCTTCCAAGGTATAAATTTTTCAAAAAAAAGGAAAGCTTCCGGAACCATAAAAAATTCTTCCAAATTACTTTATTTTTTCAATGTTTCTTATGATTTTATAATTTTTCATTTATTCAATTGTTCAAATGTTCTAATTTTACAATTTTTCAATTCTGTAATTTTTGGATTTCCCAATTATCCGATTTTCCGATTTTTTAATTTTCAATATTTCGTTTAAAAAAAAAACTAAAATTCTTAACATTCTTTCAAATTCTTGAAAAAAACTGGCAGGAGGCCCCAAGATTCTTTTGAAATAAAAGACCTTTTTAGATGCTCATAAAATCCTTTCAAATTTTTCAGAGGCCCTTAAGATCCTTTCAAATTTTTCAGAAAAAAACACATATCAAGACAATCTAAGATTCTTTCAAATTCTTCAAAAAACCGTCAAGGGCTCCAAGATTGTTTCAATGTTCAAAAAAAGGGATTCTTTAAAATTCCTCCAGAAAAACCGTCCGTCCTCTCAAGATTCTTTCAAATTCCTTAAAAACAGCATCAAGAGCTTCCAAGATCTAAATTTTTCAAAAAAAAGGAAAGCTTCCGGAACCATCAAAAATTCTTCCAAATTACTTTATTTTTTCAATGTTCCTTTTGATTTTAAAATTTTTCATTTATTCAATTATTCAAATTTTTTAATTTTAAAATTTTTCAATTCTGCAATTTTTGGTTTTCCCAATTATCCGATTTTCCTAATTTTTTAATTTTCAACATATCGATTTAAAAAAAAAATAAAATTCTTAACATTCTTTCAAATTCTTAAAAAAAACTGTCAGACGGCCCCAAGATTCTTTTGAAGTAAAAGACATTTTTAGAGGCCAATAAGATCCTTTCAAGTTTTTCAGAAAAAAAAAACCTATCAAGAACCTCTAAGATTCTTTCAAATTCTTCAAAAAAACCGTCAAGGGCTCCCAGATTGTTTCAATGTTCAAAAAAAGGGATTCTTTCAAATTCCTCCAGAAAAACCGTCCGTCCTCTCAAGATTCTTTCAGATTCATTAAAAACAGCATCAAGAACTTCCAAGATCTAAATTTTTGAAAAAAAAGGAATGCTTCCGGAACCATCAAAAATTCTTCCAAATTACTTTATTTTTTCAATGTTTCTTTTGATTTTAAAATTTTTCATTTATTCAATTATTCAAATTTTATAATTTTAAAATTTTTCAATTCTGCAATTTTTGGATTTCCCAATTATCCGATTTTCCGATTTTTTAATTTTCAATATTTCGATTTAAAAAAAAACTAAAACTCTTAACATTCTTTCAAATTCTTAAAAAAAACTGTCAGGCGGCCCCTAGATTCTTTTGAAATAAAAGACATTTTTAGAGGCCCATAACATCCTTTCAAATTTTTCAGAGGCCCTTAAGATCCTTTCAAATTTTTCAGAAAAAAAAACCTATCAAGAATCTCTAAGATTCTTTCAAATTATTCAAAAAAAACCGTCAGGGGCTCCAAGATTGTTTCAATGTTCAAAAAAAGGGATTCTTTAAAATTCCTCCAGAAAAACCGTCCGTCCTCTCAAGATTCTTTCAAATTCATTAAAAACAGCATCAAGAGCTTCGAAGATCTAAATTTTTCAAAAAAAAAAGGAAAGCTTCCGAAACCATCAAAAATTCGGCCAAATTACTTTATTTTTTCAGTGTTTCATTATGATTTTATAATTTTTTATTTATTCAATTGTTCAAATTTTGTAATTTTACAATTTTACAATTCTGCAATTTTTGGATTCCCCAATTATTTTCCGATTTTTTAATTTTCAATATTTCGATTAAAAAAAAAACTAAAACTCTTTAACATTCTTTCAAATTCTTAAAAAAAAACTGTCAGGCGGCCCCAAGATTCTTTTGAAATAAAAGACATTTTTAGAGGCCCATAACATCCTTTCAAATTTTTCAGAGGCCCTTAAGATCCTTTCAAATTTTTCAGAAAAAAAAACCTATCAAGAACCTCTAAGATTCTTTCAAATTATTCAAAAAACACCGTCAAGTGCTCCAAGATTATTTCAATGTTCAAAAAAACGGATTCTTTAAAATACCTCCAGAAAAACCGTCCGTCCTCTCAAGATTCTTTCAAATTCATTAAAAACAGCATCAAGAGCTTCTAAGATCTAAATTTTTCAAAAAAAAAAGGAAAGCTTCCATAACCATAAAAAATTCTTCCAAATTACTTTATTTTTTCAATTTTTCTTATGATTTTATAATTTTTCATTTATTCAATTGTTCAAATGTTCTAATTTTACAATTTTTCAATTCTGTAATTTTTGGATTTCCCAATTATCCGATTTTCCGATTTTTTAATTTTCAATATTTCGTTTAAAAAAAAAACTAAAATTCTTAACATTCTTTCAAATTCTTAAAAAAAACTGTCTGGCGGCCCCAAGATTTTTTTGGAATAAAAGACATTTTTAGGGGGCCATAAGATCCTTATATATTTTTCAGAGACCCTTAAGATCCTTTCAAATTATTCTTCAAAAAAAACCGTCAAGGGCTCCAAGATTGTTTCAATGTTCAAAAAATCGGATTCTTTAAAATTCCTCCAGAAAAACCTTCCGTCCTCTCAAGATTCAAATTTTTCAAAAAAAAGGAAAGCTTACGGAACCATAAAAAATTCTTCCAAATTACTTTATTTTTTCAATGTTTCTTATGATTTTATAATTTTTCAATTATTCAATTGTTCAGATTTTCTAATTTTTAAATTTTTCAATTTGGCATTTTTAAATTTCTCAATTGTCGGATTTTCCGATTTATTTAATTTTCAGTATTTCGATTTTACAATATTTAGTTTTTTCGATTAAAAAAAAACTCAGGATTCTTAGAAAAAAATTTCTTAAGAACCCCTAAAACGTTTTCAAATTCTTAAAGAAAAGCGTTAGGTGCCCAAAAATTCTTTCAAATTTTTCTGAAAAAAAAAATCTGTCAAGAACTTCCAAGATTCTTTCAAATTCTTAAAAAAACGGTCCCAAGATTGTTTCAATGTTCAAAAAAAAAAACCTCCAGGATCTTTTAAAATTCTTCAAAAATGTCAGCTCTCCAAAGATTCTCTCAAATTCCTCCAGAAAAAGTGTCAGTCCCAGATTCTTTCAAATTCAGTATCAGGAGCTTTCAAGATCTTCTAAATTTTTCAAAAAAAAAGAAAAACTTCCGGAATTCCCAAGATTCTTTGAAATTTAAAGATAAAAAACTTCAAGAACCCCCAAGACTCTTTCAAATTCTTCAAAAGAAAAATCAATGGCCCCAATATTGTTTATTTCCTAAAAAAAACGTCCAGGATTCTTTAAAATTCCTCAAAAATGTCAGCTCTTCCCAATATTCATTCAAATTCCTCCAGAAAAAACGTCAATCCCCTCAAGATTTTTTCAAATTCATGAAAACCAGCATCAGGAGCTTCCAAGACTTTGTAAATTTTTCAAAAAAAAAAGAAAAACTTCCGGAACCTCAAGATACTTTCGAATAAAAAAACAGTTTAAGAACCCCCAAGATTTTTTCAAAATCTCCAAAAAAAAAGCTTCGGGAACTCAAGGTTCTTTTAAATTAAAAAAAAAAACTGTCAGAAGCCCACAAGATTATTTTAAAGCGTTCAAAAATCCGTCAGGAGGATCTAAAATTCTTTTGAATTAAAATAAACCTGTTAGAGATCCTCAAGATTCTTTCAAAT